TGTATATCAGAAATACAATCAGATCAATTGTGGTCATTTATGTTTAGCATTTCTATTGAATTCGAAATTAAAATGATGAAAATGAAAACCAAACTATTTAAATTATACATACCTCTACACTGAGCCATCAGTCATGTCTTTGATATTGACATTGAAGAGTCGTTCTTCGACGCTCTCTATCGATTTTTCACCTCCAATTCCATTGGATCTCGATTCTGAATATGGCTTAGCTCTACTCAGTTTCCATTCGTACAACAGCGTACCCAACATCGAGGAAGGTACAAAGTTCTATTATTTTGAAAACGGTGACAAAAAACGGAGAAAAAGTATCGATATTCCTACTGGAGCTTACGAAATTGAAGATATTGAAAAGCTGATCAGAAAACATCTTGTACCACCACCTGCATCGAAAAATATGATGTCATTGTCTCCATCGCAGAAGCCTGAAGACCTTTTCTATCTCAAACCGAATAATAATACTTTGAAGAGTGAAATTTTCTGCAAACATCATGTAATTGATTTCACTGAGAACAATAGTTTGGCCAACATATTGGGGTTTTCGTCGAGAATCTTGGAAAATGACATTCATCATGTGTCAGATCAGCCTGTGAATATTATAAAAGTTCGAACAATACATGTCGATAGCAACATTACCTCAGGGGCCTTCTACAACGACAGACCATCTCACACGATCTACGAATTTGCCATCGATGCTGACCCTGGTTACGCTATCGACGAAACGCCGAATCACCTCATTTATTTACCCATCGCTGCCCATACAAACGAAATCTACAACATCACGCTCAGAGTGCTCGATCAAAACTTTCAACTGGTCAATTTCCGAAACGAAGAAGTCATCATCCGATTGGAACTGAAAAAATTATGGTCCTGAGTGTTTATAAGAGTCGCACCTCCGTTCCTGCTCCTTCAGTCTTCAAGAAGACATTCATCAACCACATTGCCCGCCGCCCACTCAGTACGCGGAATATAGCATTTCTCAAGTCACTCGGCTATCATGTTATCCTCTCAAGTGTTCAACATATTCCGAAAGCCTCACGTCGACGAATCCATACAAAAGGTCGAATGGAGAACATACTACCCTTACGTCAAGTCGTTCCGCAATAATGATGTCATAGAAATCAACATCAATCAGTCTGATGCTTTCGATGCTCTCTATGAAAGTATTTTGCACATTAGCGGAAAAGTAACGAGAACTGAAGGTGCTGGACATGTAGCTTTTGTCAATAATGCTGGTGCCTACATGTTTCAATCCATCAGTTATGATCAGAATGGCAAGGAATTGGAAGCAGTGCGCGATGTTGGAACTGTTAGCACCGTTAGAGGCTATTTGTGCTACAGTGCTGAAGATACGAAACAATTGGCTATAGCAGGTTGGACCTACCCCAATAACGTTGATGTCATAAATGCGACAAGTTTAGCATTCAGTATGTTCATTCCATTGAAGCATCTGCTGAATATTTTCAACGATTATGAGTGCGTCTCCTATGGTAAACATTCTATTCGTTTGGTGCGAGCTGGAAACGATAATAACTGCTTCAGAATCACCGAAACTGCTGTCGGCGCAGCTGTTGTGCCCACAAAAGTACAACTGGAAATCGAAAATGTGGAACTCAAAGTGAAAAGATTATTTCCAAACGATCAAATCAAACTACAACTCTTGAAGGCAATCAAAGCTGACACCCCCATCCTAATACCCTTCAGAAAATGGGAATTACATATGTTGCCTTCTCTCACGACAGGCGCCACCAATGAAATATGGGCGGTCAAAACTTCTTCGTTTCTCGAAAGCCCTCAATATGTCATTGTTTGCTTTCAAACAGGTCATGATCTGACTAAAGTCAATACTGATCCTACGATATTCAATCACGCAAACATAACGAATATCACATTAACTCTCAATGGAGAAAGTTATCCAAAGGAAAAGATGCAGCTGGCCTTCGATAAAGGAGCCTTTCCACAGGCGTACTTCAACTATACGCAATTTGGATACAGCTATAAAAACACCTCGCTACACACTCCACTCCTGGGTTACCCAGAGTTTGCCAATAAACAACCTCTTTTCGTTATCGATTGTTCGCGACGAGATGAAAGTGTCAAAAGTTCCACTGTCGATGTCAAACTTGAGATTGAGGCATCCCAAGGATTTCCCGCCAACACTCGAGCCTATTGTATCATCGTTCACGATAACATCATTGAGCACCTCCCACTCAGTGAAATTATCAAAAAGTGGAATTGATTCTCAGTTTTCCACTCAGTTTGAGTTCGACCAGCATCATGAGAGTAGCTTTTATAGACATCCAGGGGTTCATTATCGAGCAAGAATTCCGTCCCAAGGAGATTGCCATAAAAATCGGAGTGCAATGTAGTAACTATCTGCTACTTCCATACAAATCCTTTTCATCTCTCAGCAAAGAAGACCGATGTGGTGTATGTTTCTTGGAGAGAAACATTCATGGGCTTAGATATTCTTCCGGCTTCGTGGCATACAATCTACTGGATGATATTCTTCGGGAGAAACTGAGCGACATCGACATCATTTATGTGCGAGGACATCAAAAGAAGGACTTTCTGGACGATAAACTAGCAACATTCAATGTACATGCGAGAGTTGTGAACTTGGAGCGATTCGACGATTCCTGGTACGATGTACCAACTTTCGATCACAACCACACCATCACATCCTGTATGCACCACCTCCGTCGGGAATCCTACAATTGCAGTCTTCGCAACGTTGATATTTTATACAAATGGTTCGATAATATGATACCCAAATGATGTTTCTCAATTATCCAATAAAAATAGTATATTCACTCTAATGAAAATTGTTGTATCATTTCCTCTTACTCTCGATTATGCACGTCAAAACGGCAATACGTTATCTTTCATAAGACATCAGTTGAATATTTCACATTACACACCTTCAAATGGCCCACGTCCGTATTACGGAGTAACACCCAAATACTTGAACGTCTGGCAACGATGCGGTGCGCCGCGCACCAAGTATCCAACGTCTGCCGGTGAAGGCGACCCGCGCGCTGGCTGGCCGGCCGGCATGTTATATCCCCAACTTGAACACAAACATTTACTTGTGGATGTGGCGCAATGGTAGCGCTTCGGACTCACAGTCCGTCGGCCGGGGTTCGATTCCCCGTTCGCACAGCTCACAGCTTTTTTTATTTAATTTGGAATATCCAATTTGGCGCAAAAATGACGTCACCATACGAATAATACATATTATAAATACAAACATCAAGAAGTTAAAACTATCGCCACATCTACAGCGCCACCTAGGGAGTGTTACTTGCGGCTTTGAATCAGAAACGGCTTAGTCCTTCTACTCGATTTTCTCTACAACGGTACAAGATATCGATAAAAATATAGTATACCTTTTTTGTAGATGAGAGATAAAGGAATCAAACGGTGAAAGCAAAATCTGAAACTTGTCACCTGTGTCAAAAATGCCTACATTAAATGGGAAAAATTCGTCTCATCCTTTATGGAACATACGGACTGGGAAGCCGTTTATATACGGATGGAAAGGAGCATTAGTATGAGATTATTTATCTTTCCGAATATCATTACATGAAAAACTGTTTTTTTAAATTCAACTTTCAAGGTCAATAACTCCTTAACGAAGCGCGTTAGACATTGTTTTATATAAAGTTTTGACTTTATTTTGGCTCACTCTATATCTGCCCTATCATTCTCGATATGACCTTTCTGGACACCCTGTCAATGAAATGAATGTAGTTGTATTGAGTTCATTGCACCCTGTATACTTTGAACCCCCAGACGATTCTTAAGTTGCTTACATGTTTTGCATCGGTTTGCTCAATAGACGAAAATATAATTTCATGAATGAAATGTTGCAGAGAAAAACACTTTGTTGGAAACTGCAACATTTTTGTGAATTCAACAAAATCTGAGTGTCATATATCCACGACCAAATATTTTGTCACTGCAACAAATTCTTTTTGTCAGTTTTCAAGTAAAAATTCATTTGATGTAACTCATTAATGATTCAAATTAACAGCAGGAATTGGTTGAATCAACAAAGACTATTTTGTTCCTGTAATACAATATCTGCTCTAATGAACATATCCTGTTGATGGAAAGGATCATACCATTTAATTCATTCTTCAAGTGACAGAATTTTCATTTTCTCAGTGAATATGTTAAAATAACAATATATGTTGAATATAACAACATGGTTCTTGCATTCAATGAAACAATTCATTCGATCAACAAAATTGTATTTAGAATTGACAAAATATTTTGTTGAATAATATTTAAAAAAATCCAATAACTGAATATGAAAACTAGGAGAAATTAGAGATCAATTTCCTCAGTTGATTCAAGACTATTAGCTTGTATAAGCGTCATTAAAAATTCTAGGACAGCTTGATATAATTATATAAACGGATGTTCTAGGTAGGTATATATGTTCACCCCGATCGAGGCGAGCGTAGGAAAGTGGGAAGAAACGCCACCTGGTTGCGAAAATGCGACTAGACAATCATAGAACAAAATATTTGTTTGATATAATGTATCTGTGGGTTCTGTTCAACAAAATAGTTTGTTTGAAATAACAACATATTTTTTGATAATGATGTGTTGAATCAACAATATATAACTTCTCATATACAATCAATTCAATTTTGTCGAATCGAAAAAAACTTTGATTGGTTGCGCAATGGAATGAAAAATATGATGTTGTACTTAGTTAAATCTTTGTCAAAATTAATTAAATTTTGTCAAATAGACAAGATGTATATGATTTTATGTACAAAGAGATGATCATTGGATCAACAAAATTTGTTTTATGTCAACTATAAATATTGTTGAATGTAATGAAACTTTTTTTCAAGTAAGCGAATATTTCAATCAAATAATGTTGTAAACAAATGACCGAAGTTATTTTGTTGTTGCAACAAAACTTTTTTTTCTGTGTATCTTCGTCTAATCGGCTACGCTCTTACCAATGATATGTTCGCCATCAATCCTGCACAGATGATTAGACATGGCGACCATAGTTTTGATGATGAACGAGGGGAGATCCTGAGAAGATTCCGGAAGGCACTCTTCGAAAATTTCCGTAACTGGCCTGGCGCAAATCTCGAAATGGTTTTTGACGGCTGAGCACATTGTTTGTTGGGTATCGTCGACTGCATCACTACACTGCTGGACTTTCAAAAGGGCTTCCTGTAATGATAATGCAGTTCTCAACACAATAAATAGACCACTCATAATTTGACACTGATTCGACGACCTGTATTTTTTGAGGAAACTGACTGATTTTCATGTTGTTTTCGATATCAGATTCCATCAACCCCAAAGAAAGCTAGAACAGTGTGAAAAAGTTCGCAGAACGAAATTTTCACAGGGGGTAAAGTGAAACCATTATACACCTCAACAACTTGGCATGATTTATTAAGCACAGATACGACCTGTTCTAGAATACTGTTCTCACATATGGGGTTCAGCACCCAAACTAACTCTCATGCTCTTAGATTCCATCCATTCCGGTTGCATGGAAGAGAGCCAGGATCGTCTTGATCCCAAAGCCTGGAAGAGATTACTCTCAGGCTAAGGCGTTCAGGCCGATAACTCTTTCATCATTCATGTTGAAGGTGAAGGAGAAGCTAATTGAAATGCATATCAAGGAAAACTTCCTCATTGAAAGGCCACTACATAAAAACCAGCATGCAGATCAATCGGGAAAATCCTGTGAAACGGTGAAGGGCCGTCAACTGGTGGGGAAAATTGAAGCCGGAATAAGCAACAAGAGTATAGCTGTTGCGGCTTTCCTGGATATTGAAGGGGCATTTGACCACACACCCTTCATATCCATGGTAGCAGCGGTTGTTGGGCGTGGAGTGGAAGACACTACATGTCGGTGGATAAAGAACATGCCACACAACAGAACAGAGGAATCTTCATTGCTTGGTGATACCATGGAGGTGACAGTGCTATGGGATCTGGTTATTGACGAACTCCTGAAAAAACTGAAGAATGAAGAAATTTACTCACAAGGGTATGAAGATGATGTCGTCATTCTGGTAGAGGAGCAGCATCCTGAAATTATTTTTGATGCAGCGAGCACTGAAGATAGTAGAGGGCTGGTGCAGAAAGACAGACCTCAGGGTCAATCCTAGTAAAACTGCACCTGTGGCCTTCACGAAGAAGAAGAAACTGGACAAACTAAAAGTTCCCAGACTTTTTGACACACAGCTGAGTATGACACAGGAGGTTAAATATCTAGGAGTAACCCTATATGCTAGGCTCACCTGGAATACTCAACTGGCTGCTCGGAGAGCGATTGGTAACACATAGGGACTGAAACCACGCATGGTACATTTGCTGTATACTGCTGTGGTGAGACCAATGATTGTAAATGGATCGCTTGTCTCGTGGCCTAAGACTGAACAGAGATCAGCTATAATGGAACTTTCAAAACTCCAGAGATTAGCTTGTCTCTGCATCACAGGTGCAATGCGCAGCACTCCTACCGCTGCTATGGAAACCATACTCAATATTTCGCCAAAATAATCAGCCTGGTTTCAAGCCTACTAATCAAAAATTGGGAAGTGACAAAATGCTGCCTAGAAATAACTATTACAGACCCTTCAACACTCAGGTCTACTGGGATGAGATGGTCTTGACTAACTGTCAGAAAGGCACGTTAGTATGGTACACTAACGGGTCTAAGACTGATGAGGGTACGGAAGCCGGAATATATGGATATAGACCCAGAACTAGGATTTGTGCTTCTTTGGGGAGGTATCTTTCGGTATTCCAGGCAGACTTGTGTGTATTGAGGCATGTCTGAGAGAAAATATCGTGAGAGGATACAGAGGTGAACAAATCCTCATATGCTCAGATAGTCAGGCGGCCAATCAATCTTAATCATGCAATAAAATCAGATCAAGACTGGTCTGGATTGCCTTCAAAGCCTGCTAACCCTGGCTAACCACAATAAGACAACTCTTCAATGGGTGCCAGGGCATAAGGGAATTGAAGGCAATGAAGCAGCTGACGCTCTTGCTAAGAAATGGTCTGCGGCGTTGTTTATGGGACCGGAACCTGTGTTAATTCAGTATTCCTAAAACCTCAATACGCAGCTGACTGGCAAGGTGGACGCAAGAAAGACACCAGGCATACTGGAACAATGTTCCAGGACAAAGACACAGTAAACTGATGGTTGGAACACTGTCCACCACAGTGACTAACGACATTCTGAGCCTAAACAGAAGTCAGATTAGACAAGTGACGGGACTAATAACCGGTCACTGCTCCTTGAGGAAGCATATGCATCAAATGGGCATCTATACAGATGAACCCATATGCAGATTATGCAATGAGGAGGAGGAAACTGCTACATATGTAATATTGGAGTGCGAAGCACTAACGCATTAGAGATACAACCTTCTGGGAGCATCAAACTATCAAGAGGCATTTCCGACAAATAGTTTGGTGAAGAGGCTGCTAAATCTTATCAAGGTAGCGAACCTGTTCACCTGAGTCAACAGCATGATCAGGAATTCGATAGGCCAGCATTAAACTCTCAAGAGGCTTTTCCAACGAATTGTTTGGTGAAGAGGCTGCTAAACCTTATCAAGGTAGCGAACCTGTTCACCTGAGTCAACAGCATGATCAGGAATACGATAGGCCCAAAGGCTGCAGTGTTTTGGGCTTCGAACCCTGACTGATCATACTGCTATTAATCAATCAATCAATCAATCAATGGTGCACCATTCGTCTTCCATCGACCTCCAGAAAACATGGAAACAGTTCTTCCCAATATTCAGTTCGAGTGGAGTTCTGGAGAGAAGTCTCAAGAAATACAAGCCTTTTGGCCTTTCGAAAGAAAACATTATTTTTGTTCCAATGGCGAATCAAGGAGGAATCACGAAAACTTCCCGAGATGAAGTCCCAATGTATCATAATATGACTGACTCTTGATCAGGAAAAGATTTCTCGAGTTCCGGCAGCATCGCGGACTATTTCACAGTGTTCTAGCTTTCTTTGAAGTCGATGAAATATCATATCTGAGATCGGAAACCGCATGAAAATCGGTCAATTTCCTCTAAAAATACAGGTCGGCGAACATAAGTCAAATTATGAGTGATCCATTTAGTGTATTAAAAATTGTAGTCATATGTTTTTACGACCAGACTATTTTGAGTTGATTTCCAGATTTTAGTAAATCTACGTTTATGTCGTAGGTTTTATTAACTGGTTGTTATGCTAAATGCTGAATTTGTTGGTAAGTGATTCACTTAAGTTATTGTGAATCTTAAAGTGAGGTTCATTTTCAAACAGGATTTATATCTCATCAAAATTACTTGTTTGGCAAAAAAATTGTTCACATAAAATATCTAAGATAATGGAGGTAGAGGTATTCAAAGGTTTGAAGAATACTCCAACTATAAAACATTTTCTTCACATTTTCACAAAGAACGCAAGAAGCCGATATTCATTCAGCATTAGATACCCTGCAGTTGCAATATTTCAATAGGAAAATTAATCAAGAACCTCTTTTTACATATTTAACTTATTGATTCTCGTTTTGAAGTGAAGTGTTATCTTACAGATTTATCATGAACAATTTTTGGCCAAACAACTCATTTTGGCCAGATAGTTACCCTGTTAAATAAGAAGCTCCACTTTCAGATTCACCCTGTATACATTATAAAGAACTTCTCTCTATGCAACGCAGGTGTGATTTCTGTGAAAAACTTCTTTCACGTCGATAATTTTCTGATTTTGATATAATGTAATATCTTTTTTATTGATACGTCCACTTAATGTACGTATGTGATACCAGTAGAGAGAGGACACTTTAGTGATTCCAAATCACCTCCCACTGATGTGTCTAGAGTTTTTTATTACTAAAATTACTGAGGGTTTTGGCAGAATCCCACTGTTTTCATGATTTTTCGACCTCATGAATGTTGACCATAGTAATATTTGTGGTTTTGGTGATGATCCGGATGGAATTTTGTAAGAAATGTTTTTTTTATATTCCTCACCTCAAATTTCCTGCCATATCCTGGACATATTCTTTCAACTTTCTTAGTAATCTGATTCATCTCTTGCTTTTCTTGGAAGTAACTTTTGATCATATTAACTCGAATGTTATGCAGCGTTTCTTCACTGCTACTCATCGTCAAAGATGAACAGATACCTGTAAATAGATATAGGTAGATCATATAGATATTTCGTTGGAAATGTGAATTGTTGTGACTTTTCAATTCCACCTATAACGAGTATTATTAATCACGAGGGGTGAAAAGACTTACAGTCACAACTCCACACTCCACCACATAATAGTTATTTATGTATCAAGGGCGTAAAGTAGGCGTTTATGGCCTGTGGCGTGAATAATGGCCCGATGGCGCTAGCCGAGGGCCATTACACGCTGAAGGCCATAAACGCATTTCACGCACGTGATACATACAAAATTTTATGCACTAGTGATTTAGTTTCTGACTCGAAAGTAATGACTATAGATTTCGATAAACTAATATTTTCTTGAATTTAATTTGTTACCTACGTATAAATTCAGTAATCAAAAAAAACATAATGTTCATAGATGATTTACATATGAAAATAATTATCGTACGGATATTGCAATCATCGTAATGGTGAAACTCTTTGCTCTCTATGTAAAAGAGATTCATTCTTCAGAATTCCACAATATGCATCATATTATTGCATACCCAGTATATATACCTACCTAATTTTGACGTTGTCAAGCAAGCTGATGGTTGTTGTCTATAGTAATACTTCAAATAAACAAGCTGAATTGTCATTCTTTGACTGAAAAGTTGAAATTAGTGATGATAATAATAGCGAGACTATGGAATCGGATATAGAAGAAGTTTATGATATACCGCTGGATATATTAGAATCTAGGAAAATGATCATAGGTTTTTCATGAATTGATATGTGGATATAAGGAAACTGAGAACAGCAGGCGGTAAAGTGCACTTTACGGCCCGTGGGCCATAAAGAGCCCGCGGGCGGTAAAGTGCAACTTAACGCCCGCAAAACCGGGCGGTAAAGTACACTTTACGGCCCACTAGTGCATAAACAATTCAATAATGACCAACGGTCATGGACAAAAGGACATTAATAATGATAATAATAATGTTCATTCAACATAAAACAAAATGGTTAATATATAATCAGTAATATGCGACGCCTAGCATGTGAACAAACAACTAAAAACAAAAGTGGCAAGTCCACTTGTACGTGCTCGTGAGTTTGGAGTAGGTATGTGTGAGTTGAAGTATGTATAAATAATACTCAATAGTTTCTAAAATATACAAAACGAACTTTGCTTAATGTAAATATAAATGTAAAATAAATTGAATAAAAAATAAATAATGAATTGTAAAAATATCACCTTTGAAATATGTAACTATGAAAACTATCTATATGAAACATGTATGTGAATTTGAAATAATATTATGTGTACCTAGTGCTATGCTATTGAAGGTTCTGCCTGAGGTTAGTGGGTAATTTGTTATTGTATTATGATAATTATTATCACTTGTTTGTTTGAGACTTTGGAGTTTAATCTGTCTGAATAATAAAATCGTGAATTTTCTGACGAGAATTTTCTAATAGTCATCAGGATTTAACCTTTATTTTGAATTTTGTTAATGAGTACCTCCTTTCTGGTATGCTCTGTATTTTTTCTGGTAACCTGGTATATAGTCTCGGGGCTAAATGAGAATAATGTCTGCGTCCTACTGTTTTATAACTACGAGGTAACGTGAATGCTATTCGATGTCGTCTCGAAAATGATTTCTCTTCATGGAATATTATTTTCAAGACCCATTTCTGAATGAAATGTTTGGAAGGATTAATCCTCCATCACCATCATCAGCAAAGTAGTATAAGTTTCAAGGATGTTTTCAAAGGGGCGCAATAGAAGTGAATTGCTCAATATTGTACAGTGTCTTTCCAAAGTCTGGAAACGGTCTCATATTTCAGAAATGGCTCAGATAGAATTTATGATATCTTAGACAAATCAATGGTGATATCAGCAATGTTGCCAAATCAACAGTTTTTCAGATGAATCTCAACATTTTAACACCCTGTAGCTCAAAAACTAAGAGGGACATATGTTGATATTGTTGATATGACATTTTTTCCTCGAAATACCCCGAGGATTCACACCTTGTATTATCGGCACTCAATTATTCAACACCCTGTATACATAATGATACCCTCCAAAAGGCATACTGGGTGCAATCACGCCCGAAAATCTGTTGCCGAGCAACACCACTCGAATCAGTTGGGACGAGTGGTTTTTCTGTACGGCAACACAATTGAGTTAACAATGGATGACGGAATTATGAGAAGTTATTCAGAACAGAGTGGTATTTTGCTAGACTATTTCATGTTCAGGAAGCATAAAAATCATTCATTATGAATGAATGATTCATTCTGACAAGTACAGCCATAATTATTTCATGCCAAACTGGCAGACTTCGCTCCGCTATCTATGGTTACATCCAGGCTTTGCTTCGCTATGCATGGTTACATCGTTGAAAACATCATCAACGCTGATGAACCAATCAAAATTGAAAGACAGCTAATATTTTCGCAATAAGCACACGTTGTCACTGGCTTGTAATTAGTCAGATTGACATTGATGTTGTCACCATTCCTTTAATGCATTATGATTCATTGTCAGTAGATTTCCAACTGGAATATGGAATGGTAAGAATTCTGCATACGTATATTATTCTGTGAGAACCTAAATTTGGAGATGATTATTGACAAACTCACGGCTCATGTTAAATAAAACGAGATAAATAGGTCACAAACATTATCAGTTTAGGTTAAATTCATCAAAGTTTCTCGTGAGAAATTATATAAATCTAGCATTTTCGGATCATACTTACCGATCATGTCAGAATGAGCTAAAGGGATATTTTTTCAATAGACTCGTCACTTATACTTTTGATATGATACAAATATCGGGGATTCAGTCACTAGATCGGGTTCCAAATAAAAGATAAACTACTTTTAATTCAAATTCATTGAAGCTGATTATCTATCATTTTGGTGATTGAATAGTTATTTATGCAACAAGTGCAAAAAGTGAATGTTTATTGCATTCGACGTGAAATTGTCCGACGAGGCCGTTAGGCCGAGTTGGACAACACGTCGAGTGCAATAAACAATTTTTGCACGAGTTGCATACAACATTTTTTCTACGTTCATGCAAAAAGCAAAAAATGATTTATTGAGGTGCGGCACTAGGTACAATTCTGTTAATTGTCAGAATTAATTTTTGACTGACGTTTCTATAACCACAGTTGCATTATAGAAAATGTTTGTCATGATGACAGCACGTTGAAGTAGAATGACAGATGAGTGCAATAAAAACTTTATTGCACTATGTGCATGTTTCTTGTATTGATTCGGCCGGTATCTACTATATGGAAATCCAATAAATCCATAGCAAATGTGAAAAACTTCAGAAACTATAATATTTCCACAACATTCTCAATAACATGGCAGTATGAAAATATTTTTTGAATTGACTCGGCCGTTACTTGATGGAAATCCATGGAAAAGGTAAAAACTTCCACAAAATTATGAAAATAGCCTAACACATCAACTCTGCAATAGTTAATTATTCTATAGTTCTTATTTTTGTTCGAAACGTTCAAAATTTGATTTCAATCTTCCAAACTTCGAACTTTTCAAAGGTTGCAAATGAGGCTATCTCATGTTGAATAAACGGCAAGTTCTGTTCATTATTTTGTTACATTCTCTATACAGTGTGTCCCACTTACCATGCTCACCATGAGTATCTTTTTAACGGTGAGAGATACGAGGTCGGTTAAATGACACCAAATGTGGAGTTTGCCAAGGCCAACTATAATGTAAAAAAATATTTTGAAAAAATCTATCCGTTTTTGTTTTATAGGCAAAAAACAGATTTTGATCATTTTCATGTCTCCTCCGTAACTTCTTTATTTATGAAAATATTCAAATTGGAATTTCACATTCTCATGGCAGTTTTTCAAAGTGATTTCGAAAAAAATATGAAATTTATACCAACTCTTCTAGAATTTGAGATATCAGCACCAACTTTAATTTTTCAAATGTAGGTCATAGCTCACTATGACTTATTTACAAATAACTTCTTTTCCTCTTTCAGATGATATGTCGCAGTAATAGTTTTGTGTTGATAACAACGGAGTTATCGTCATTTATACAAAAACAAAAAATTATTTGGAAGCCGCCATCTTGAATTTATAAATTGTAACAAAAAAATCATGATCTCCGACCTCAAAAACACCCACTCACCAATTTTGAATGGAATCGGACCGAATCTTGTCCGCCATCAATTACAAAAAATGGCTGCTCCAATATGGCGGACATGATTTGGTCCAATTCCATCCAAAATTGGTAAGTGGGGGTTTTCCAGGTTGGAGATCATGATTTTTTTTGTTAAAATTTATAAATTCAAGATGGCGGCTTCCAAATAATTTTTTGTTTTTGTATAAATGACGATAACTCCGTTGTTATCAACACAAAACTATTACTGCGACATATCATCTGTGAGAGAAAAAAAAGTTATTTTTAACTAAGTCATAGTGAGCTATGACCTACATTTGAAGAACTAAAGTTGGTGCTGATATCTCAAATTCTAAAAGAGTTGGTATAAATTTCATATTTTTTTCGAAATCACTTTTAAAAAACTGCCATGAGAATGTGAAATTCCTATTTGAATATTTTCATAAATAAAGAAGTTACGGAGGAGACATGAAAATGATCAAAATCTGTTTTTTGCGTATAAAACAAAAACGAATAGATTTTATCAAAATATGTTTTCACATTATAGTTGGCCTTGACAAACTCCACATTTGGTGTCATTTAACCGACCTCGTATCTCTCACCGTTAAAAAGATACCCATGGTGAGCATGGTAAGTAGGACACACTGTATATTCGAAATGAATTCATCAATGGGCTTATATCACAAAAAAAATTTATTTCATAATTCGATAGAACTCACCCAAACTAGCTCACCACCGCAAACCGTTTCTTGCTGTGAGCTCCCTACGTTTTATAAAAAATTATTGAAATCCCCAATTTTTCGGACCTCTGAAAACGAGGCGATGATGTGACGTCAAAACCCTAATACTGAATCAAGACTATTCCAGACAAAGATGAATGATACATGATTTCTGACAGAGTGAATTAGCGCGAGATCACAGTTGAAAGAATTAATATATCAGTTGCCTCAGTCGCCGTCGGGCGATTGGTTTTTTTTTAACTATGGCAAGATGAGGTTTCTACGTCATAAGAGGGTCCGTTTTCAGAAGGTACTATTATTTATGTCCAAGAATAAAACATTCCAGTTAATTTTTCGATCGAATCATGTCGTCAATCATTATTTATGTATAAAAGGATCGTTATAAACATGGTTCGAGTTAAAAGTTCTACTAAGGTGTACACGCCAATTCTTGATTTGAGTACCTTTGATTTTCCATGTCATACTATGCGAAAATACTACATGCTCCAGTTGCCTTTGAGAAAGTATCAATATTGCTATTTGAGAATAGTCACTTATTTCATTTCAGAAAGCGTCGATTGTATTCCAGAATAGTCAATTGTATTTCAGAAAGCGTCAATTGTATTCCAGAATAAAGTAACTGGATGGTAATTACTTAGATAAGAGTTCAGACACAGCTGAACTTTTGCCCATTTTTATTTTCTATATTACAATGGTTTGAGTGAATAAAAGAATAAAACATATTATATTCTGCCCTTGGTCTAATCAATTTCCCTAGTGAGTATATCTTTTGAATTTTTCGATTTCTAATTATTTCAAATGATCATGAGCAGGTAGCTTACATGAAGGTGAAAGATTTTTTTTTTCATGTAAGCTATCTATAAGGATTCCTCTGGTTACTTAATCATTTTTTTTCCTCCTTGTAGGACTATGTGATTTCTTATTAGGCTGATGATGGAAATACGTATGTCCGAAAACATTTTCCCTTGATGTGATTATTCACAATGAACCCGTAGGTTTTCACAATAAATTGTCGTGGAGATAACTTTTTTAATAATAATAATAATAATAATAATAATATGCTTTATTGTCTGAAGAAGAATCTTGTTGACAAAGCTAGGTCAGATAATATTGTAAAAACAGGTTAAAATATAACGACATAAAAATGAGTGACAAAATATAGTCAAAATAAATACCACATTAAAATACTAAAATATTACAACTCAAACGTATCACTATAATATTCCTGCAAACTGTAATAGGTTCTATCAGAGAGGAACTTTTTGACTTTCTTCCTGAATTGACAGTCATTCAGACTTGCTGATCTAATATCAACTGGCAAGTGGTTGTACATTTTTCCACCATTATAGTATATGGAATCTTTAATGTACTCTCTTGTGGGTAGAGGAAGTTTCAAACTGAAATTTCTGTTACGCGTGTTATGATAGATGGGAGTTGTAGTGAATTTCAACTTGTGCTTATTTATCAGGCAAACAGATTCCAGAATGGATAGTGCAATCACTGTCAATATTTTATTATTGGAAAATAAAATTCTGCAAGAATCTCGAGGTTTGACATTATATACACAAATACCTTATCGCTCGTTTCTGTAGAATTAACAGAGTTTTTAAAGCCGTTGGACTGCACACTCCCCAAAAAGGTATTCCATATCGTAATTGGGAATCTATTAGTGAATAATATACCATCTTGGCAGTATGGAATCCTAATTCCCTAGAAATCACTCTCACTGCATAACATCCAGAAGAGATCTTACCAGTGAGTATCTTGACGTGGTTACCAAATTTCAGATTTTTGTCGATCAACAATCCCAGAAACTTAGTATCATTTCTACTTTCAATAAAATTATCACCAAATGTGATTTCATCGAGGGAGGATCTGAATGATATTATACTAGTTTTAGATATATTGAACGACAGAATATTGGCGTCACACCAATCTTTCACCTTTTTCAAATCAGATGATATCATTTGATGAAGATCTCGAGGATTCCTACTATAACATAATATAGTAGTATCATCTGCAAATAGAGTGAACTTTCCAGTTATATCAATTTTCGTGAGGTCGTTGACATACAATAAGAAAAGTACAGGTCCTAACACAGATCCCTGTGGAACACCATGATCAATATTTCTCTTCTTGGAGAGTTCTGTCGTTTTGACCACTTGATTTCTTCCTGATAAATATGATTCGAACCATCTGTATGTCATTCCTCTGCATCCATACTGATGAAGCTTTCTCAGCAGTATTCCATGATCAACACAGTCGAATGCTTTTGATATGTCACAAAACACCGCCGCGGAAATCTCACCTGCATTTATTTCCGAATAAACTTTATACAGAAATGAGAATATTGCATCGTGCGTGTTTTTGTTTCTTTGAAAACCAAACTGACTGTCACTGATAACATTGTGGGATTTCAAAAATTCGACGAGTCGTTTTTTACCAGTTTTTCAATGATTTTGGCAATAGTTGGAATTAAAGAGATCGGCCGAAGATTAGATGGATTATCTATGTCTCCGCCCTTATGCAAAGGGATGAAAACAGAAGTTTTCAGAAAATCTGGGAAAGTCTTTGTATTGTTCATTATTCAAATTTTGAATTGACTCGGCCGTTACTTGATGGAAATCCATGACAAATGTATATTGTATGTACATTTGTATATTATTCAGTATTAACCACTGTATTCCACTTTGAGAAACGATGGACTTCTACCAGAGATTAGATGAATATATGTTGTGTATACCTACGCCGAACATGGCAACACTGTGGAAGGTAAAAAATCAGAATTTGATATCAATTACATTAGATATATGTTGCCAAGTACTATTCTGATGGAGTTGGAACAACTAGATGTTTATAATAATGGATAAAAATATCAATGGAAACGAAAAGAAGTGCCTCTGATACGATTATCTTTTGCCCCCTGATTTCAATGTTTTGAAGCAACTTTGAACTTTGACCATAACTCTGAAAGTTTGCATAATAGAATTCAACTCACCTGTCATGACAATGAAAACTATGAAAAAAATCTTCATTGTGTCTTTAATAATCAACTATGCTTATACAGAACACTAAATACAAACTGTACTTTCTATCAGTAGTCTTATTACGATAATGCGATATTGTATTGAACATTTATCTCCTTGCTTATTCTCTGTTATTTACATAAACTTCGTTCGATAATGAGATTCAAAAATTTCCAATCATGAGATAAAGATGACATTCATCACATGAATGCATCGACATGGGCATTGGAATGAATGTTCGTTTCAATTGTCAACTACTACATTATAATAATCTTATTGCATTTTTGAATTCATATACCTAAATACCTACTTCTCATTCTATTCATAAGTTCAGAAAAACGAACTTTGACCTATTATTCAAAACGTCTCAGTTTGTTTTTTTCATCCACCGACACAATTATCTCGGAATGAAATACTTAAGCTGCCCTTTTAGTATAGTGCCTAGGAGCACAAAAATGGTCAGATACACCTTCTGAGTAGGTACCTACACTCAGTTCCCAAAGAAGTGACGCACTTGATATTTGACCTATCTTCTTAAAAAAAAAAAAGAAAGTAGGCCGATTTTTATTTTTTTTATTTGTTGGAAGGTAGGTAATGTATTTGTCTTAAAAAAAAATAAATAGGTGAAAATGTTTTCAAAGCCTCCTTGATGGTGGTGGAATAACTCGAACCATAATTTATTCTTAATTTTTGACTCACCCTGTGTGTTAATTGAGTAATGGTATACAAAGTGCTTACACCCTATACGAGAGAGGCTTCTTTTGCGAGCATTTTGTTTTTTTATTCATTGATTTATCTCTGAAATTTTCCGAATTACAGCTTTTTTTGCTGAATCCCTGCAGATTACCAACTTTCTGAATTTATCGAGAAACAATTTTTTAATGAAATAAACTGATACCAATAATTTTAAAAAACATTTTTATCAAACACAAACTTATAAATTGGGATAACTGCTTAATACCGTGTATTGCCTTCTCTAGCAACTCTAAGAACTTCTAATCTACGAGGCATACTGGAAATTAAGTTGCTTATCGTTTCCATTGGTATACGATCCCATTCTTCCACTAATGCATCTGCCATTTCTGCGAGACTTTCCGGAGACCTAATTCATCCCACAAATGTTCTATAGAATTCATATCGGGGCTGTCATGTCAATGTAAATTTGGGCATTCATCGACTGCCTCACCGGAAAAACATGAAGGGGTGTCTTTCCATTCATTGAAATCCCACCCCACACCTTAAAACTCTCGCATTCTGTTATTAAATTTCCATTAAACCGTTCACCAGTTCTTCTCCACACTCTTTTTCTTCCATTCACCATGTTAAGGTAAAACCTTGACTCATCCGTAAACAAGACATTCGACCATTCAGGAATATTCCACTGTCCATAATTTTCAACAAAATTTCTTCTAGCAGCACGATGTTCGGGCAATAATTTGGGACCTTTTGCAGGTCTCTTGGCTTTTGAATTAACTTCTTTTAGACGTCTACATACCGTCTGATTACTTCCTGCAACATCACGAATTTGGCGAAGATCTTGCTGAACATTTACCGCAGTATTTGATCGATTCCGTAAAATCTGCAAACTCAAGAAGCGATATTCTCTTGGAGAAGTTTTTCGGGGGCGACCAGAACCGACCCTCCGAACGGTGCTTACTGTTTGTTCGTACTTGCGGATTGCTCTACGAGCAGTTGCTTCATGAACTCCCACTGCACGAGCGGCGTAAGGCTTATTACTACGCCCATCGTTTACTAACGCAACTAATCTTGCTACTTGTTCAGGATTTATTTGAGGCACTTTATGTAATTTCAGTCAATAAAACAAGACACAAAATTAATGACTCAACGACAAATGGTCAAATATGGAGGCATACAACAAATTAGTTGCTGTGGCAACGGCATTTGTTTTTTTAAAGACAATGTTATCCTACCTGACTACAACCCAATCAAGTTAGAGATATCCATATAAAAAAGGCTTCCAGTGGCGTACGAACACATATGCGTTTCTTAGAATGATACGTGAAAAAAGATATAAAGTACCTGTTGGTGCTTTCAATATAAATAATGATCAATTCACTAGGTATATAACTTGAGAGGAAAAAGTTGATATAGGTACCCATCATACAAACTGATGCTTTTTCAAGATATTACTATGGGATTCGAGAGGGAATGTGGGATATATCTAACAATAAAAGTACACCAATTTTGTTTTCCAATCAACACTATCTGAGAGCACGGAAAAAAACTTATCAACTCTGGAAATATAATAAAACAAGTATAAAATCAGGTACGACAACGCTAATAGCAGCATTCCATTCAAGTAATTAATTATGTACAGGGTGATTCACCATAAATGTCCCCCCATCTAGCTCACCTAGTTTTGAACCGATTTAAAAATTTTAATCATCACATAAAATGATTTTTCAGAAATTTTTTTCCCGTTGCATCAGAAAATACAGGGTGCTCGGAACAAACGATCTACAGAGTACTACTTGATTTTTTCGAATGAAACACCCTGTATTTCATTGTATCCTAAGATTCTCCCTGGAGAGCTGATTTCATCAATCCATCACACTTGGGGTCTAGCGGGAATGATTATAGAGATATAGGGTGTTCAAAATCGAGATTTTTCAACTTAATGGTTTTTTGTGTCGAACCTATTCATTATTGGTCAAAACGGCTCTCTATCTGAACTTTTGATTTACTATCTTCTGACATTTAATTGGAACATATACAGTGTGGTTCAAGATTCAGAATTCTGATCACCCTGTATCTGTTCCAATTATCAAATGTCAGTAGATAGCAAATGAAAAGTTAAGTTACGGACATGGAAGCCGTTTTGACCGATAATAAATAGTTTCGTCACAAAAAAAACTTAAAGTTGAAAATTTTCGATTTTGAACACTCTATATCTCTGTAATCATTTTCGCTAGACCCCAAGTGTGATGCACTGATGAAATCAGCTCTTTAGGAAGAATCTAAAAATATAATAAAAAATAGGGTGTTCCATTTAAAAAAATCAAATAGTACCCCGTAGATCGTTTGTTACGAGCACCTTGTATTTTCTGATGTTGCACAAAAAAACTCAATCAAAAATCATTTCAGATGATATTTTAAATATTACAATCGGTTCAAAAATAACTGAGCTAGAGGGGGGGGGACATATATGGTGAATCACCCCGTACCATAATTTTCTCATCAGAAAATACTCGCATTTATGTTCACAAAATTGTATATTGGCATTTGATCCTTATTTCTGTTCTAATTTGTCGTTCAAAATGGTTGTCCAAAGTAGTGTCCATCTTTTTTGTCCCAATGGCTTTGAGCAAATTCCTAAATTATACTACGTTTTTCTGTTCATCAGCCTGATCTATAGGAATCGAGGAAAAACGGGTCAAAGACTTTCGATTTTCAGAAATGCATCTGTTTCTCCACCTGTTACTACCTTCGAGTCGATGAGGTATATGGTACCTTGATATTTCATCACACTCTGTATATTGAATGAAGTAATAATATTTCATTTTTCCACACAGACGGAATGTAGATGCTTGTTTTCATAATTTTCATTACTGCCACCTTATATATCTTTGTATGTACTTCACCGTACACCATACCAAGCTTGATCCGAATTTTCATTTGTAAATACCACTAGAGGTCAAATTATTTCCGAAATTTTTTTCGAGCTCATGGATATTTTGAAAATCATTCCGAGTTGAAGACGAGGGATAATTTTCGAAATATTCATGAGCGAGAAAACAATTCCGGAAAGTAATTTACGGCCACTCTACCCATAAGGAGAGCATTGGTAAGCGCCCTCTAATGGCCTTCGGCAATACGTTTGAAAATGTTCATACATTTTGAAAAACTCGATTTTCGTTCTTAAACTTCACCACCCTGTATCTCGGAAATGAAGCAATGTCAAACTGAGTTAACACGTTGACTGCCGGGCTCATATACACACTGTTGGTATCAGAGCCGAAGCAAAATCAAAAATTTTGTCCCAGAAACCATGAGTGACTCTATGTAGCTGAAGCCTAGAGAAGATAGTATATCGTTGAAATTCTTGAAAATTGGGACACTGGATCTAAAAAATTGAAGAAATTTGGCTCGGTCTTATAGACCGAGTCGGCGCTCGTTTATACATGTATACCCGTGTACACCGCGTCGGTCCGCCAGCTCGGTCCGTCCGGGTTCGGCCTCGGTCTAGTGCTGTGTCTGATGAGGACGATATACAATATAAACTTGTCACTGAAGCCGTCTTGGTCGCTCTCCGCGATATTATTAACAATAATTCAGACCGACGGCTTCACGGGCGGTTCAATTGACTCGGTCCTATAGGCCGAGCCGGCCTGGTGTATCAACTCCAATCTTGGTCTATGAGACGAGGCGGCACGTCAGGATATTTTTTTCTCGGTCTAATAGACCGACATGGCAGTCAACATGTTAAGTTGCTTCAAATCGGCTCATTGCGACCTAAGGAATATTTGCTGAGATTTTGTAAAGACCTTTTAGGGACACCCTGTAGAATGCCCGAAATCGACTTTCTCGACGCACTATGATCAGGCGCATTCTGCTTGATCTCAGAACTAATAAGTCAAACAAATCCTCCTCCAGCAGCAGTGCGAGAGCTTATCGCCTTCTGCAAGTGAAAAAACAGACAACTGATCATTGGATGTGATGCAAACGCCCACCATTTGGACTGGGGAAGTGGCAACATCAATGAAAGAGATGAGTACCTATTCTTCTTCCATGAACAGAATTCGCGGAGAAGTTTTAGATTTAACAATCAGTACACAGTTCATGAGTACAAAAATTGTTAACTGGCAAGTATCCACAGAGCCCTCATGTTCAGATCATATGCATATACGATTTGATATGAGAACAGAACACCGACCAATAGTACATTTT